TGGATGCTGGTTGGTTGGATGGATGGATGCTGGTTGGTTGGATGGATGGATGCTGGTTGGATGGATGCTGGATGAATGAATGGTGGTTGGTTGGATGGTGGTTGGATGAATGGATGCTGGTTGAATGGATGGATGCTGGTTGGATGCTAGTTGGATGTTGGATGGATGATGGTTGGATGGATGGATACTGGTTGGATGGATGATGTTCGGTTGATTGGTTGGTTGGTTGGATGCTGTTGGATGCTGGTTAGATGTTGGATGGATGTTGTTCTATAGATGCTGGTTGGTTGTATGGATGGATGCTGGTTGGATGGATGATGTTCGGTTGATTGGTTGGTTGGTTGGATGCTGTTGGATGCTGGTTAGATGTTGGATGGATGTTGTTCTATAGATGCTGGTTGGTTGTATGGATGGATGCTGGTTGGATGGATGATGGTTGTATGTTGCATTGATGGATGGATGGATGGATGCTGGTTGGTTGGTTGGATGGATGGATGCTGGTTGGTTGTTTGGATGAATGGATGCTGGTTGGTTGTTTGGATGAATGGATGCTTGTTGGTTGGTTGGTTCTTTGGATGGATGCTGGTTGGATGTTGAATGGATGCTGGTTGGATGGATGCTGGTTGGTTGTTGGATGGATGCTGGTTGGATGGATGATGGTTGTATGTTGCATTGATGGATGGATGGATGGATGCTGGTTGGTTGGTTGGATGGATGGATGCTGGTTGGTTGTTTGGATGAATGGATGCTGGTTGGTTGTTTGGATGAATGGATGCTTGTTGGTTGGTTGGTTCTTTGGATGGATGCTGGTTGGATGTTGAATGGATGCTGGTTGGATGGATGCTGGTTGGTTGTTGGATGGATGCTGGTTGGATGGATTATGGATGGATGCTGGTTGGATGCTGAATGGAAGCTGGTTGGATGTCGGATGGATGCTGGTTGGTTGGTTGGATGGATGGATGCTGGATGGGTGCTGGTTGGCTGCTAGTTGGATGGATGCTGGTTGGATGTTGGTTGGATGCTGGTTGGATGGATGATGGTTGGATTGGATGGATGCTGGTTGGATGGATTATGGATGGATGCTGAATGGAAGCTGGTTGGATGTCGGATGGATGCTGGTTGGTTGGTTGGATGGATGGATGCTGGATGGGTGCTGGTTGGCTGCTAGTTGGATGGATGCTGGTTGGATGTTGGTTGGATGCTGGTTGGATGGAAGTGGCTCTTTGATGAAGCCTTTGATGTTCAGCGGGTCTCTGATGAAAATGGAGCTGATGGTTTGAAGCCAGCAGAGGGGTGTGTGTGTGTGTGTGTGTGTGTGTGTGTGTGTGTGTGTGTGTGTGT